CGATGTCTGTCAGCATATGGAAAACAGGGTAGAAGGGGCAGACATCCCAGCCTTCAGCAGCTGCCATTTGCTACTCTGCTCCACCAAAGGAAGAGAGGTGCTGTTCAAAGTCATGGCAATAGGGAGGATGAGCAAAAATAAACTCAGGAAAGTGGCAACCACCTTGGTGCCATCTTTTCCTCATGAGTCACTGCAGGGGATTGAAGAAACTGCTGGCATCGAAAAGCTCCCAAACTTAAAACGCCAGGAGCAGAATGGATTGCAAGGAAGTAGTATGGAGTATGGGGAACATGAGTATGGAATTCCCTGTCCTGGCATCATCCTGCCCACATCCCAGTGTCACCAAGCACACCTCTTCCAGCGAGAAGCACCTGGGGGATGGGGTAAGAGTGCTGCTGCTGAACTTTCCACATGAGGGGAGCAGATGATTTGTTCAAAAACAGTATGCAGTTAGAATTTGGGAAGCATGGCAACAAGGTAATTGATAGAAACCTAGTATAGTTCTGGAACACAATGAGTTGGCACCTTGTCTGCACAGCTGGGGCCAGTGCTGCTGGGGATACAGCAGTCAGGAGCCAAGACACCCATGCTGTTCCCACACTGGGCTTTTATAAAGCAGAGATCTTTTGAAGAAAAGAGCATAGGGGGTCACTGCACAGAGCCCATCTCACACTGTCAGCTGCAGCTGCCTTCCTGGCTTAGCGCAGAACCCCCTTCCACAGCTTTAGAAAATAACCCCCTCTTCTGAGTTCTACTTGCTCCTTCTGGGGTGTGAAACTGTAGCCCCACCCAAGGTAGGAACATGCTGGCTGGACTGGAGTCCTTCCTGGCAGTGCAGAACTACTCCTCCTCCTCCACCCCAAGAGGAGATGGCATGTGGCACAGAGGCATCTCAAGCCTTCACACCATTCCTCTTTCATCCTCTTTTTCTCTTCTTCCATTACTACCTATGACCCTTTCCCATCTTCCTCAGTCCTCCCCCTGGCTTCCTGTTCTGCTGTGGTGCACACAGAGGCTAAGCTGTCCCTTTGCTTTCAGGAATATGACCCCTGGAAATCCTCAGACAGAATCTGCAGGCAGCTGATTTACCACCTAACCCCCCACTCAAAATGGCACCGGCACGGCATGCCTCGGAGGAAGTCCCAAGTGTGGTAAGCAGCCTGTTGGGGATAGCGTGCATGGAGAGGGATCTGCCAGGAGAAACTGTGCAGTAGCCAAGTACCATCCCAATCTGCCACTACTGCCCTTCTCAGGCAAAGGCAGGTCTGAAAACCTGCATGGCAGTCTCTGCTCAATCTCTTAGAAAACCTCAGCCAGATGGCACAGGGTCAGTGCCAGTGCCCTGCTCCCATACCTGGTTTGCTGTTCACTCCTTTTGATGTAGTCTTACAGTTCCTCAGCCTCTCCCAGCTGCACTAAAATGAATCCCACTTGCAGCCAGCCTTCTCAGCAGGGCTTGCAGTGTGTCTGGCCCTAGGAACATGGCCAAAGCTGGCAGCCTTTGAAATGTACACACCCACATGCCAAGCTGAGCTGGTCCCCAGCTCTGCATCTTGCTTTGTCCTTGTTTATCCCAGTAAAACTTCTCTGCCTGTGGCAGAAGGTCTCTCGTTACAAGGCACTACCACAAGCTGATCACCCCATTTAGAAGGAAACACTTTGGGTGGCTGGCAGAGGTGACCTTCCTTACCTACCTCCCACTTCTCTGCTGGACCAGGCAAGAGACCCAATATGATGCAGAGCCTTATGGACACAGAACCCAACTCAAGGCACAGACAGCTACCAGATGGCAGCTGCCTTCCACTACTACCAACATATTCAGACACTCACACTTGTTCTTTCCTTGACACTTGCTGGTTTTTCTAACCAGATAAAGAGCAATCCCTGCTTCTCTTAAATCCACCCCTTCTCTTGTCATTTTCTTCAAGCAAAGCCTGTTTCTGTGACACAGATCACCAATACTGAAGAAAAGATAGAGAAGTGGCTAAGAGAAGCTCATGTCAGACCCACTAGCTTCATAAGAATAAATGCAGGATTGCTAAGAGATGCAGAATTGGAAGCACTGGGAGAATGGCCTTGGACTTTCTTGAGACTTACAGAGTCCTTGATGCATGTGCTTGCAACTTAAAATTCCCCACAGGAACTGACACTTCTATCATACTTTTCACTCCAACTCAGAAGCAGATCCCCAGTGCATCTTAAGGAATAAAATCCCTAATACCATGATTTCCAGGCCACCTGCCTCTCATACCTGTAGTCTCCACCTTGCTACTGAATCTGAGCACCATGTGAGTCTCAGTGCTCTCGCCCCCAGCACCAGGGCAGGACTGCTCATGTGGGTGGGAACCACAGCACAGAGCGAGGCGATGCACCAGAGCTGAGCGAATCTTTTTCCACACCCACTCAGTTAAATGACATTTTCCCTATGGGATCCTGCAAAATGCTGGAGATGCAGGATAATAGAGCACATTTGACCTCATCCCCATCCCCTCCCAAGATAGAGAGGCTTAAAGATACAAAATGCTGAAGAAAGGGAGAGCTGGTGGCTGTCTCTGTCCCTTTCCAAGCTCTCTTTTGATGAAAACCAGCCTCATTCTGGTTTTCCAAGTGAAAAATCCCTCCCTAATGCTACTAACTCAATCCCCTGCCTCCAATATTCCTGACTGCAGGCAGGATTCCTTCTCCAGTTGGACTCCAGGCTAAACAGTTCAACTGGAGGTGTCCCCTCTGACTGCACAGCCTGGGGAAAGCAGAGGACTGCCTGCTGTAAACTAATCACTAACACCACAGAGAGGAGGTCTGTGGCTAGAGGAAGAGCTCTGGGCCCCCTGAGCCCAGATCCAACACAGAGGGGTCAGGCCAGGTACAGAACATCTGCGGGCACAAGCAGAGAGAAGGCAACCAGACAATGTATGATGGAGGGAAATATAGGTCTAAAATGGGCGGTTCTGCCTGGCAGCCAGGCCCAGCTGCAGGGTGTTACATAAGGCACAAAATATTTTTAATTAAATATTAAACAGCGGAGCTTCCTCTCTTAAGACTGAAGAGAAGCTGGTCTGCAGTTTGTGGCAAAAGGTGCCTGCAGATTTGGCCTCCAAGGCTGCTGCAGGAAAATTAATGTTGCCAGTATCAGGAAGGCAAGAAATAGCTGCTTTACTTGGAGATTCCAGGGCCTAATTTTGTGCAGCTAGGTTGTTCTTACCTGATCTGAATTCTCCACTTCCCTCTGTCTGCTAGTGGGAGTATTTTACTGAATCTCTGAACCCTTGGCTTGTATCCTTCCTGCCATCAGGGTCCCATAAAAAGCATGGGTGTAGCAGCAATACTTTGAAGGCATTTCTAAAATCTAGAAGGGATTTGGGAAAATACGGAAGAATCAGTGCATGCAGAAACTGAATTCTCCTCTTGCTTTTGCAGTCTCCTGGGCTTTGGCTTCTGGCTTTTACAAAGCTGATGCAGAACCCCCTTGTTCTCTTGTGAAATGTGATTTCCGCTTTCTGACAGCATGTCAGATGGGTCCAGGAGATAATTAACAAGTCCAACCACACAGAGAGCTTAGAGTATCTGCCAGGTTTTAATCATGTTTGTGCTGTTACGGAGATGTGGTATAGGAGATGGAAAGGACCCTCAATGCTGGAGCTGGATCACACATCAGGTCTTCCTCCCCACTTCCAAACAGCAAACCAGGGGGTCAGAAACAGACTGACTAGTTATGTCCCCATCTGCTCTCAGTGGGCCCCAAAACATCCAGCATGTACAAACCTGAGCCACCCATGAATTTATAAAGCTGAAAGGATAAGACATCTTTCTTCAAGCACTCCTGTTTCTATACATAGCAATGCCAGGACATAAGGAACTGTAAACTCTATTAAGAGCCAATCATACTTCCACTAGGCAGGAACAGTCTTATGCTATTCATGCTATAGAGCCCAAACAGATAAGCACTTAATATTCAAATAGGCCAGGTCAGCAAAGCATCAAACATGAAAGCTCCAGGTACAGATATGTTGCTCCAGAACCTCAAACCTGCTCCCCACTGAAGCCGGAGCTAGATCACAGCCTGGTACTGCAGTCAAGAGGCTGTGAATTACAACTGGGCTGTCTTAGCAAAGCCCTATCAGAGAACTTTATGTATGTACTTGCATTAACCCCAGAGCTGGCTACTACAGGGTAACTACTACCTTTCTTGAGTTCAAAGGATCAAACCTGAAACCACAAAAGATGAGGAAAGTAAACAGAGTGATCTTTACAAGCAGGGTGTTGTGGCACCAAAAAAACCCTCAAGATTTTTCACAGTGACTGGTCCTGGAAGAACAAAAGCAGTTGTGTACACAGAGTTAATAACTCCCAAACCACATGCACCTGCAGTTTCCTTCTCACAAGTCTCACCCCAGTTTTACTTATCTCATCAGAGAAGTGAAGCATCTTGGTTAATCCAAAGCTGGGTGGAGAACAGAGTAGCCCTTTTGGGCTCATTGCTCTGTTTCTCAGATGCTCATGTGCATTGCTCAGACATTGAAGCATTAGATACACTTTTTAAATGCAATGAAAGCACTTGTGTCTAGAAGACTGTAAAGAAACAGCTCTAAAGGGCTTCTGATCTTTGGGTTGTCTTTATTTTTTTCCCTTGAAAACATCACTCAGGGTTGCAGATGACAGGTCTGGCGATTAGATCCTAGCCTTCACGTGGCATGAGGTGAATATTAACTAGAGCTTCATGTCACCCTTAAGCAACAGGATAAATAGACACCATCATTCCTGC